TTTGCCACTACTGTTGTCTCAGGAACCAGTAGTACCAACACCTCTCAGCTACAGATTTTCAGTATATATAAAGCATGCTGTGATTCTTTATATGTTAGCAAAAGTCTTCACTAGATTTATTATAGAAATGACCATGATACCAGAATGATCAGTATTTTGCCACTACTGTTGTCTCAGGAACCAGTAGTACCAACACCTCTCAGCTACAGATTTTCAGTATATATAAAGCATGCTGTGATTCTTTATATGTTAGCAAAAGTCTTCACTGTACATCAGTGCAAGACCCTCTGTTCCATGTAGATCACATCAGGGCTGCCACAGAAAGCACCCAGGTTCCCAGGTACAGTGGCAGCAGTGCATGGCCACCTCCAGAGGAATATTAATTTTTATTTTGAGACTCAAAATCTCACAAGAGAACCTCCAACCAAAAATGAGATTTTATGTGTCTAGTTAGAGCATCAAGAAGGTCCCTAAAGCCATGTGTATCTATGTGGCCTGGTCAGCTTTTAAGATGCTGCTATGCAGGTGGTGTGTCCAGCATTAACTACAGTGACATGGGACACAGGAATATGGGCAATTCAGTCTTCTCCATTCCTGGGTTGGTCACATAGTGATGGGTTTTATCACTTAGAGATGAGAGTCATGCAGTCCCTATGCTGTCCTACCTGCTTTAGTCCCCGTCCTTTCCCTCTCAGTCTGTGTGTCCTAAAATGTGTCATGTAGATGTGTGCTGGAAGTGTGATGGCCTGCAAGCTTAGGAACCATGGGTGTACACCATTCATACATCACCTCAAACCTGTTCCCACTCATTCTCGGCTCAGACCACTGATCTGTGCTTTAATATTTCTATTCTCTGCAAATCAGATGCTGCTGGAGCACAACTGGCCAACAGCTGACTCTGCCCTGGCTGCTTGTAGTCACAGCAGACACTGCAGTGTGCTGACTCATGAACTTTTGTCATCCTTTATAAAATCGAGTCAGAACAGCTTTTAGTATAAATCTGTGTGTTTGTTGCTTTTTTTTAGTGTTCCTACCTTCTTGTTCCATAACAGTTAGATCTTCTTTTGAGGAAATTTATGAAGTGAGGACTCACCTGAGTTCTATTAGAAACCTTGAGTAAATTCTGCTTTGGCTGATCGATTTGAAACTCTTCCTTTTGTTTTCTTTCTCTGATAAAATAGGTTTTAAAGCAGTATTTTCAGATGCACAGTGGGGGAGTTACAGATTCTAATGGAAGCATTTGCATTTTCTCCATATCTATTTTTACACTGCTCTTGGATCATGATGTGGCATTTTCCCATGTCTACACCAGGTTCTGATACCAAAGAAATTTCTCTATGGTACCACATAATCAAGAAGCAAGAAGATATAACACAGACTGGTCATGGCTTTGTACAGAGAAATATCATTGTACATCACAGTCTTACTTGATTTAGATCCTTTTTAAACATTTTTTGTCCATCTGGACTTTGTCTGTGATATAATACAGAGGTAGCTGATGTAGCAATATTGGAGGTAAACTCTTGAGATCTGAGCAGTATGAGTGTATCAGCAAGCTCAGAGCTAATTCCAAATTTTACAGATCTATTCATTGTACTCCACCATGCAAAAAAGAAATGCCCTTTTTTTTGCCTGTTTTGCAGGAACAATTAAGTTAAAATAATGAATTTCGGGGCAAAAATCAATCCTGAAACTCAGAAAGTCTCTGACAGAGTGTGATGGGATTTCCATCTGATAACATTAAAAATGGATTTGTTCCACTTCAAGGCAATTTAATCTTGGTTCAGGCTAATTAATCTTTGTTCATACAGTTGACCTGATAAGGTTATTAAAATCATATATGATGTGACAATTCTGTAACCTGCACTGAAATTCTAACTTAGTGCAGGATTAGCCTCTTCTTAAAATTGAAATAAAATATCTAGTTTTGTGAGATTTTTTTTCTGAATTACCAGAGTCCCTCAAATATTGCTAAGTGTTTCTGCTGTATAAAGGAATACACTTAGCTTAAAACGTTAGCATTCACCAAGGTGAATGAAAATGGGTCTTAGTTTGCCTTGCAGCAAGACTGCAGGCAAGGAGAGTTTCATAGACCTTCATTTTGACCCAGTGAGGCTGCTCAGAGATTCTCATGACCAGCCTTTCCCCTGCTGGATTTTTAAAATTTTTTCAATAAATTTTCAGATATCAAAGAATATTTTTTTTTTCACTTTTGAGTACTCTATAAACAATATTGACACAGCCTGTGATATAGGAAAAATGGCCTGATTTGATGGTTACTGAAGCTGGTGGACAATTAAAGGTTGTCAGATTTCCAGGAGGTTCAAAGAGAGTTACAGAAGCATCAGATTACTCTCAATTACATTCAATCAATAAGCACTCCACTCTCTCCACCATGGCCACTCAATTCACTCTACCAGAAAATACCCTTCCTGAAAATTGGATGTTTAGCATAACAGTACTCTGCACTGAGTTGCAGTGGGCCATTGAGATAGCAAAGTTATGGTGTAATATGTGCTAAAAACTCACCTGCACACTCACAGAGGAGCACAGTGCGGGGAGTGGGAGCACAACAGTGTGGGGAGGAGCCCAAAGAACTCCCTGCATCCAGCTGTTCCCATTCCAGGAGCCATCAGCCCATGGAAAGCCTTTCTGAACAGCCAGAGGAGCCTGGGAGCACAAAGGCAGGTGGGAACCTGAATTAAGATTTCAGAGGAAGGGACACTTTGTCTGTTGGGCCTGTCCCAGGCTGTCCCAGAGGAGCCTCAGCCCTTGTGGCCAGGCATGGAACCCACCCAGATGAGTTAATGCCAGAGCACCTCAGGATTGAGAGGAGCTGCTGCCTGGGGCGTGGCACACATGGGCTGGGGTCTCTCTGTGGGCTGCTGAGGACCTGGGCAATCCCAGCCAGCTGTACCTGTGTGTGTGATGGTCTGCACCCCCAGCTGGGCTGTGGGGCTGGGGGCTCAAATGTCCATGTGCATGCAGCTGGTGAGGCTGGGACCCAGGGGCAGCTGCTGGGCAGGCAGAGCTCCTGAGCCCAGCTGCTGGAGGGATGCGTACAGGTGTGTGTATCCTCACTAGAGTACTGCACTGCTCAGCCAGAGAAGGATGCGGCTCTTGGTGCTGTGGCAGTGCTCTCTGTTTGTGCCTGTGGCCTGCGTTGCCAGCTGTGTGTGTAACCTGGTTATAAATGCACTCTCTGCTTGTCCCTCCCAGGGGTACTGGCTCGATGCTGGTGGGACCCCAGGCATGGAGCTGCCCCAGCCCCACCTCTCTTGGACTGTCAGACCCTGCACAATCTGTTGCATCAAAAGCAGAGTGAGCCTGGGAGAAGTGTACAAAGATGGTTGGTATTTAGTATCGTAATTTCTAATTTCCTTCCTTTTGTGGGTTGACTGGTAATGCATGCCACAGGCATAAAACTACTGCAAATAAGCTTGTTGGTCTACTCATTTTGTAAAATTGGAAACCTGGTTATTGTTGAGATAGGGTGTGTTGGTGGAGTAGGAAATTTGAGGAGCTACAGAGTGAAGAACAAAAAGCTGTTTATAAACCCTTGTGTGTGTGTATTAACTATAGTCAACAATTCACCTATAAAATAATCACCAATGCATGAAGTTTATGCATCAAAAGCCTGTGGAACAGTGAGTTTTAGATACAAATAGCAGTGATTTATAAAGACAACACCTCCAAGCCTGAATATGATATAGACACAATATATTTTAACTATATAGACAAACATGAAATGCCAATGTCCTTCAGAAAAGCAGTTCAAGCTTGGAATTAACTTCTTTCTGTTGAGAATAATAAGAAAAGAGACCAAAAATATGCCCAAGGAGTAAATTCCTGTGTGTACAGAAATTCTTCTGTAAGTGACCTAGTTTTAAAGATCATTGGGAATTTATATTCATTGCCTGTAGAGAGGCAGGGTGGCCAGGGAAATGCTGCTGTGATGAAGCCCATGCATCCATGGAAATAGTGCTGGACTAAATTTCCTCACTGACATAATTCCACTAAATTAAAAGAACTGATGTGAAGATGGACTATGTCCCTATTTTTATGTTTGACCCAAAGGATCATAAAATGTTCATTTTAGTTTAACTCACAAACAGAAGATCTTTTGCAACATCCTAATTGCCTAATTCCTATTTTTGTTTCCTTTTCTGGGAGGTGAGGTTTTTACATTCTTTCAATCAGTGGAAGTATTTTTCCTTCTCCAAGGGGGAAAAAACCCACAAACTATCATAAAATCAATCATATTTTACTAGATTTATGGTTTCATTTTTTTGTCAGTGATACATACAGACATCAGGAAAGAAAACTACTAGATCATTTTATCTATTTGGAGACGAAGTGTTACCCCCTAAGGCTGTACAATTCAGTGTCAAGCAGCTGATTTATATTACTTTTGTATATAATAGTTCTGTAGCCAAATCCTTTGATTGCCAGGATATCTTATTCAGGCTCCATTTCTCTTATGTGGATTTGACTTTATTTTTTATACTTTAAGGTATGATGAATGCATACCTTACACAGTATGAAACATTTAGCATGCAACAATGACTGTGTTTACAAATGGCTTTATTCCTTTCTCCTTTCTGTGGAATTTTTATTAACATTGCATGGCATATATTTGCAGTAATGTTTTCAGCTGTGAAATGTAGCTCTGAACTCTGACTAAATGTATCTTCTACACAATAGCACTTTTGCAAAATGTATTGTTATTGTGGGGGTTTTTTTGGTAACTGGATCATTTTCTTACATCAAAGCCTGTCAGGCTCACAAGTATTTCAACAAATGGAATGATTTGTATACACAACTTAAAAGTTTTCTGCGTGAAGTAGAAAAGCAAATCTGAAACAAAACTCTGTGTCACTGATGAGAAAATGTTCTGTCTTTGTTCTCTGTACGATCCTTGGAGCGAGACGTTATTTGTAGAGGTTCTTCTCTTTCACAACAGCCGGCAGGAGCGTTCATGGGCTAATCTTTATCTTCGGTCTGCTCTTCAGAACGAATGCCTCTGATGTGAGGCTACTCTACAGGAAACATGACCTCATTCAGGCTCTGTGCCTCTGATTGCACGGGCTGTTTTCAAAAGGAAACAGGGGACTTGCTAGACCTGCCCTTGCGAAGAGCCAGGGCTGAGCTCTCCCAGGAAGCTGCTCAAGGACCAGCCTCCACCAGCCGTCCCACGGGCTCTCGGGCTGATGAAGAGACAAATTTTGCACGCATGTGTTAATTGTGAAATGGATTTTCCAGGTTTGAAGGATTTTAGACTTATTTATCTCTTAATATATTTGTCAGCTGAGGAATAGCTAAGATTTGAATTCATTTCTGTGCTGCTCTTCAGGAAGTTTTGCGGTATTGTGAACGTTGCTACCATTACCTGCAGGGAGAAAAGACAAAACTGCTCGTCAAAAATAGCTGATATGTGTGAACAAATAAAACTCTGTGTAGACACTTGTGTTTAGTAGATTAAACAGAATAAAACTAGTTGGCTGGGTTTCAGCTGTTTGAATAGTTAGCACTATATTTTGGTAGGTACTAATGTAAATATTTAGATTGTATGCTGAAGGCATCATTGGCTTAAACACTAATTTGATTTTTGAAGGGAAAGGTAGCTAAAACTGATTGGTTTGGACAATGACTTTTTGTTTATATTACAACATGAACTTTTGTGTGTTTTGAAATCCAAGGGGGGGTTGTTGCCTTACATTTTTATTTAGATTCTTGACAAAAAATGTTGCCACATTCACCTCAGATTCGCTTTTAGTGAGATTTCATAGAGCTGTTGCCTTTTTCTCATGCCATAGTTTAGACATGCTGTGTTGATGGCTCATTTCGTGGATTACAGATACAATACTACTGCTCCATTGTACAGTGGTGGTTGAGAAGCTTTGTTATGTCATTACTATAGCTTCTCACGCTATTAATAGCACAGAAATAGGACTGAATATTAAATGAAAGCAGAACACTGTGCAGCATTGTCTACAACATAATGTTGCCATGTTTTCTCCATCATTGACTGAATTATTTTCATGAACTCTCTTCATTATGCATGAGCCAAAAATTTTCATGATCACGGGCAGCAAAAAAATCTGTTGGACTGCCTGTTCCATGACTGTTCACAGAAGCTTGATATTATCGTTACTTAAAATAGTTTAAAAGCAAGTTACAGCTGCTTATTAACTGTTCTTGAAAAAAGGGAAATGCCTCGCCTCCCCAGTAGTATATCTGCATGTGTAAATTGCTCACTTTCTTTCAGAAATAGATTAATATATTCCATTTTATCTTAAATTTTATTTCTCTGGAGGGTGGCAAATAAACAACCTGCAGAGATATACCTTGCAAAGTTATGAGAGAATTCAAATGCGGAACAGAAGGACTGTGGTTTGTTCTGCCACTGTGATCAGTATGTCAACACTTTCTAGTGAAAGCACCACCCCACAGGAAAGCTGCCACTCCTAAAAGTTATTCTTTTTTAGACATTGCTCTTTATTATCATAACTGAAAGAATTGCGTGCAATACAGCTGTGCTGTGGGTTTCAGTTGCTGGAAAGTTTCACCCTCACATTATTAAAGAGTTATGACAGATATAACTGATCCTGACACATACTTCTATATATGCTTTTCAAACAAATTTGCCCTAGAATCAGTTACTTTTGCCTAAGTGAGAATACATTATAACGAATAATTTGTTCTATATTGCTGATGCTATCTTACACATCCTGATTTTCAAACAAGTAAAAAAATATGCTTCCATTTCTTTTGAAACTCTTCCACAGATAATCTACATTCCCTGTTACCCTAGGGTGTATGAAACAGTCCTTTTCGAGATGTATGGAACATCACATGTTGCATCAACTCCAGGAGCAAATAAATTTGGATAAATTTGTCAGAGTTTTAAATAAAATAAATACCTTATGGAAGGGATCTTTTTTGACTGATAAGACTTAGGATTTTGCTGGTTTTAGTTTCTATCCAGATCCACAAACTGCTTTTGGAGTCCTTCCTGTATTTTCTTCTAGAGTTTGAATGCATTTCTTTGTTTTGAGTATAAGATTTTTTGCACATTTAAGAATCATGATTTTGCCTAAAATAGGAGAAATTATTTCAGGAGGTAGTTGTATGTTAAAAAAGCTCTAATAGATGTCAAACTATGGAATACACTGGTCCCATTGTTTGTACAACTTGCTCTGTGAGTTCTGATTGATGCTTCTTGATCTCTCTGTACTTTTCCCCAAATTCTTTCCATTTTCTCCTTCTCAAGTTATTTTGTTGCCATTAGAGCATAACTTGCTCATGTTAAAGTGATTAATTTTTCAAAATGGTAGGAGAAACAGTATGCATGGGACCAGGTTAATGGGACTGATGTATAAAAAATACCCTGAATGTTTTGCTTCTTGCTTCTCTTCTTTCGTTACCTTGCCTGGTCCCAAGGCTGAGTCAGCCTTCACACCCAGTCTGTGACTGACAACTGAGCTCCCAAGGAGGTTAAACAAGATTACCAAACTGGAAACCCTGACCTTCATGGCTTTTCTTCTTTTGCCTCAGCTCATAACTGAATGTAAAAATATAAAATTCTCCTGGCCCTGTCTCCTCTCAGAGGTGAAGGATGGGCATTTACTAACAGTGTTGCAAGTCTAAAGCTCTAAAGATGCAGGAGAGACAAGGTAATATAGGGAAAGATCATATCTTTTATCTTTTCATGTAATAATAGACATAAATTCTCCCTATGCACAGGCCTTGCTCATGTTTTGTAAGATTGATTCTGCCAGGTGGGAACATCCAGCACTGCTTTGCACACTTGAGCCACTGTAATCCAGACAAATCCTATTTCCTTAGTCTCCTGCCACAATACTACTGTCAAATATTTATCACTGTAGCAATCCCTGTGCTCATTGTGCTATGTCTGCAATTTTCATCTGAAAAATATAATGTCATGGTAATGGTGGCCTTTCCATTCTTCTCTGTATCTAGTGCCAGTTCAGGTTCTAGCTGTGGCATGAAGCAGATTTCTGGTAAAACACCTTAAAATTACTGCAGTTATTGTATTTGCATCATAATCATTTCTCTCAAATCTGTTATCTGGGCAGAGTACAAATATCTGATTTCTGTTGGCTCTGATTCTGTGTTGTCCTGGTTGAGATGAGTTTCCTATAATCACTAAGTCTTTCCCCAATTCCTTCATATGTTTTGTCTCCTCTAATTCTTGCCTTAATTTTCTTTTAACTTGTAACTTCTTAAAAAATTATCTTTCTGGTATGCAGAAGCTACCTGTCAGTGAATACGATAACAATTCCTTCTTATTTCACCTTTGTCTTTGCAGGTTCAACACCACTTAATGAAGAGCATAGACACAGCCTCTCAAGACATATTTTTCCAAGGTATTAAGGAAAGTTACACTTGCTTAATTTTATTTTTGTTTTGGCATAGATTTTGTATGTCAGTCCTTTTGGGCCACTGAGAAATGTAGTGCTGATAATAATTTAATTACTGCCCTAAATGGAAGTCAGAAGTACTGCTGTGGAGGTTGGAAACACTGGCTTTGCAATCACAGGGTTTTGGAGTATCTGTCTTCCATCTGCTTTTCCCTACACTGAAATTATGGTATCTCTCTGTGACATGCCATATGGGGTAGTTAAACCTCTTACTGAAACACAGGTCAGACACTAAATCAACCCAGTGTCTTCCTTTCTTTCCATTATGTCATTACATGGCAATTTGGAACTCAAGGGGAAAGGTATAGCCATAAATTAAATTTTAGTCAAACTAGATGTCATTACATGGCAATTTGGAACTCATAGGTGTTAAGGGGAAAGGTATAGCCATAAATTAAATTTTAGTCAAACTAAGTAGAATGTCTACAACTTTTAGATCCTTTCACTTCTGTCAGTACTCCCTTCTATTTTAAATACTAGAGACTATATTTTTCTGTGCTGTACTTAATCCCAAAGCCAATTGTGTTTCAGTGCTGGATGGAGCTATCACAATGGGCTCTATCCCATGTTGTTCCAGCTGCATGGCATTCTAGGATTTGCGAGAATTAAAAGTCATGTATCACCAAGTATGGCTAGTTTATAAAAAAGCAATAAATCCTGCCTGGCTTAGGGGGACTCAGATTCTGCCATGTAGAGGAACTCAGAGAAGCCAGATACTGGAATGCCTCTGATGGCTCCAGGTCGATGTAGGTCCAGCAGGACTCCTTGGCCAAGAGCACTGCCACAGAAACACACCAAGCACTTCTGAGCTCAAACTGGCTCCATACTTCAGGAAATGCTCCCCTGGCATGTATCCCTCCTGTAATCTGAAGCTCTGGAACATGTGATGCACACGTCAGCTGGCTGAAACCTCCTAGTACAGAGAAATATCATTACATCAATTATTTTAAATCTATGTCATTACCAGTCCCCATCAGCTTGAAATGTAAATTCATTACTATCAAATCATGGGTTTGCTCTGTCCAGACCTTCTCTAAATTAGAGGCTTTCATTTCTCCTTTTCAGTTGTGCTTGTGCCTTTTTGGATGATGATCCTGCCTATGGGTGCTCCACAAGTCCTCTGACAGGCTCCCTTCCTACATGCCGCCGCAGCCCTCGACTGCTTTCTAATGGTTATTATGTTTTGACAGAAGACAGTTTTCTGTCTGATGAAGAAGGCAACATAACACTGACACCATCCCACACAAGTGTTACATATAAAGAGAATTTAGTTCGGTAAGTGAACTATGTGCAGATTTTACTCCATGTTGGTGACTGCCTCCACATCTCTGGCCTTTTCTAGAGGTGTGTCTGGAGGTGTCTTTGTGTCTGTCTACATTTTGCTCAGCATAAGACCAGCATTACTTCTGATTGGGAACATCTCAATTGCTTTAGAGAGTGCAGTGAATGAAATTACCCAATTTTCAGTCACATCTTACTACCTAAAAACTCTTTAGTGCAGAGTTGTTGCTATAATTGAAGTTGCGTCCAATAACGGAAAAGGAGAGAGTTACAGCTCATTTTGCCAATGGGGTTACTCTGATAAGAACTAAGAAAAAAAATCTTTGTATACAACACACACACATATATATAAATAAAAATTCTTACTGGATTTCTTACTCAAGGAAAAACATCTCCTGATTCAGAAGAACAACAATGTAGAAAGGTATGTAAAATGTAGTTCAAAAAACCTGGAATTCAATGGATTTAGACTACCCCAAATAGGATACAGCAGTGAAAATCACAGGTAGCACTCAAAGTACTATCAGAGAGCAGTAGCTGTGGTATCATTTGGTACCACAGTACCTGGTATCACAACAGCACGTTCAGCCCTGCTGTTACTACGCTCCCTGACACGTTGTCATGTGCAGCAGCCATTCCTGGTGACATGCCCAGGATCAAGAATAGGGCTGGGAGCAGCACTCAGAACCTGGTTCTTTCATGTCATTCCTGCAAGCTTTAGAGCTCTGTCCCTGCTCAACAAGAATAATTAGCTCTATTCCTTGGCAACACATCTTTTCTTTCTAGTGTATTCAGGCGAAGGAAGAAAATCCGTCGCTCTCTTGACAGCTTGTTCAATCTCAGTGCCTCCAGCTCATGGCTCAGCTCCACCATTCCCAGCAGGATGGATTTCTCCCATGTAGAGGACCCTTGGCCTGATGGATGCAGAAAATTAGAAGCCAGTCACAATGATATTGGTAAGCCCTGATCAGGTACCTGGTAATCAAGATACAACTGTGTTTAGTGTGAATTGGATATTTCTTTCTGGAAGTTATGTAGGTGTTGTCTGCCAAGGTGTGCAGGTGAAGGATAGAACGAACTACAGAATTCTAAGGGATAAATAGAGCTCCTGGCATTCAAACTGAGTATGAGTCTGCAAAGAACCTCTGTGCCAAAAAGTCATTTTTTGACTGAATTTGAATGCAAAGTCATCACCAGGAATGTTTTTTTCTGGTGTGATTAATACCTGGCACTGTCTGCTTTCACCTGGCTCTTTCAATAACTTCATCTGTTATGCTTTATGCAGTTTTGTCTTTACTCTCCACATTTCTTCCTGCATACATTGGAACCCACCAATTCCCTACCCATAACAATTTGCAACCTCTCCTGTGATTCAGTAATTAATTCCTAAATTCATTAATACAAAGTCTCAGAGCTCTTCTTGCGTGCATTTCTTGTAGGTGATTCAGACTTTTCTTCTGAATGTAATAACCATGTGTCACAAAGGCAAATTCCAGCATCTCATGGAGCATTTCTCACCAAAGATGATGAGTTTCTTCATTTTGAGGAACCATTTTGTGCTTCAAAATCCTGCTCTTCATTTATGATAAATGCAAATAAAGAGAACTGGAGCAATGCAGGTATGTTATGTTCTTATTGCGGCATGCCTCATTTTTAGAGTGAAGTGAAAATACATTAAAAATATAGGTCTGACCCCTTGCAGAATAGAATTTATTTACTAAAACAAATATTTTAAATGAATGATTAAAAAAATTAAAATTATTAAATTGGTATTTAGTTGATTACTACCCCCTGCTCACATCTTTCCCTCACACATTTTTCAGGCAAAAAAAAAAAAAAGAAGTGAAGAGGAAAATGGAGGAAAGGGCATGGGAGCAAAAACTGAAACAGGCAATTATGCAGAAAGGCTTGTTTTCTGAGAGCATGGAGGGCACAGTGTTTCTGTAGTTGTGGGGGAAAAAGACTCCTGAGAGACACCCAGAGCATGAAAATTAGGTTTCTGCTTTGAATCACTCCAGGCAAGTTCTCTTTAAAAGCAACTGAAGAGACTGGTCTCAAAGGCTGAAGGTAGCCTTTGCAAACACCTCCTGTAAAATATTTACTTTCATTAAAACCCATTATTTTCCTGATTTTTATTTTAGAATCCAGGACAGTGCAAAATGTCATTTCTCAGATAGTTGCACTGATCACGTGTTTAATCATTTCAGCGTGTACAAGGTAATTTTTATTTCTTTTATTTTCTTTTTCTCACATAAGTGCTTGCTTCATTTCAAATGGTGAATAAAACTTAAATCAAGGGTCACATTTTCAAAGTTATAGGTATCTTGCTGTGACAATATATTTTTACATGATAGTCAGTGCAGGCAAATATCTCAGCTATATAGATATGCACAAAAGTAAGAAATATGTATGCAGATATGAAAGCTACTTTGCCAAGTATGCTTTGACAGGGGTTTTGGCAGGCTGAGAAGAATCAGAACGGATCCATGTCTTTCTAAGTGGGTTTTTTCTCAGTGTGAATGCTGAGGTCTTTCTTTCTGGGAGATTATCTTCAATAGTTTACGTAATTTAAAGTTTCAAATTACAGTTCACCTACCTGAGTTCAGAGGGTTCATCTGCAAGAATCCTTCCTCCTCCTCCCACCAGGTTTCACCTCTTTTAACCCAATATGCATCCCTTGGCTTTTTTTAACCTTTCTGGGTATTGTTACATTCTCAGATATTTTCTGGGAGGACTGTCTGCCACTTTGTTGCTGATGATTTTAGTTTGTAAGTATAGAGTTTCTTTATTTCCAATGTATTTATTTTTTTTTACTAAGTCACATCTGAGGAACAAATTCTTTCCTTGAATGTATATCCATGGGTCTTTCTGATCCTAATAAGAGCAGTATATGGTCAAATGGGGACAAATGTAGCCTTCAATTCATTACAGCATTTAATTTTAATTTTAATTTTAATTTCACAATTCTTTTGTCCCAAGATGCTACTGTGTCATCTTTCTTCACTCTTGATACATTTTTCAAAACAACTAAGTTTTGGTAAGTGGTTCCAGTGCCATGTGATGAATAGAGTAATTTAGAAATTTTATAATAAGAAGAGGAAGGAGATTCCTCCTGTTGTTTTCATGTCAGAAGATAGAAGGTGGGATCTTAAGTTACTGATAGAGCAGTTGGCTTTTCCAGTTACTGATTTGTATTCATAGAAACTTTCTGTTAATTCAAAAACCTGCTTTTTCATAATGTGCATTAAATGTTGTAGCAGAAAAGGGAGGTAAACCTAATCTGCCATAACATGATGCAGACACAGTCCAAGCACTGTAATTTAAGATTCCAGAGGTGCACTTTCAAGCCTTGCACTGAAGTCCACACCCAGGCCACCACACCTAGCCATTTTTTTTAAACTGGAAAAATAAAACCAGCTAATTGTGATGCTTGTCATATCACCAACTCCCAGGGACTACAGGATTTATATAATTTGGCTTCTCTAACCCAATGCACCATTAGCTCACACATAGGCCTCCATGCTGAAAGCAAGTATGGATGTGCTGGATTTATGAATTACCATTCTTTCACCTTTTTTTGCACCACAAAATTCTAAATGTCTAAAATACAAAATGCTTCCAAGACTAAAAAGTTTGGGCTTATCTGAATTTTTGTGGGCTGAAAGCGAAGCTCAGGAGGATCTTTTTTGTTTTTGAAGCTGTCAGGATTCAGGAGATCAGTGTATGCCAAGGGCACCAAGACAATCTGGCAGACAGCCTTAGAATTGGGTACACTGGAAGTCAGAAACACCAAGGCACAACTTGGACAGCCCTAGTGCAATGACAGTCACACTTTTTGACAGATGATGTATCAGTTTGTTGCTATGTCTCTAGTCTCTAAAACTTTGGTTTTACCAAAGCCATCAGGTCAGGACCATTGTGCTTGAAGCACATGCCCCAAAGTGCTGCTTCCCCTCTTCCTGAATAGCTGAGCCCTGAGTCATAACAAAGCTGTTCTTCACAAGAGAAAAACACACTCTGAGAGCTTCTCAGCAGCAGGTATACAGAGAATGCCTCTTTTATGCTCATCACAAGTGAGAAGTCACCTGCTCAAACAAGTAGTCCTGCAGCTTAGCTGAATTTGCCAAACAGGACCTACTGATAATGTATAATACTTATAAGAAACTATGATTTAAATCAAGACATACAAAAATGTATTCTTTTTTTCCCTACAGAAAATAGTAAGAAATAAAGAACAATTGGTGAGTACATGTTTAAATTTAGAAAGAATTCAATATTTTTGGGGATGAGTCCTACTACAGAATAGGATCCAAACATACCAGAAAGGTTCCATAGACTTTTTATTAAAAGAAGGTTTAGCTACAGGACCCTTGCCAGTTTTCACTGCAAATTACTCCACTTTGATGTCTACAACTCCTTTTTTATTGCATTTGGATTGTAAATTTTCTTTCTGTTGTCTGGCAGCACTGTATAAATAGCGTAAGCTGTTAACAATTGCTGTGCTTCAGCCCAGAGAAAACATGTTTTTTCAGTAACAAGCAAAACAAGTCATCCATTTCCCAAGTGTGAACTGAACAGCGGGACCAGGTGCTGTGCTGCTCTGAGCTGGTTGCATTCCACTGAAGCAGTGAAGCAGCATTAACTTGAATTGGTCCAGAATATCTGAAAAACACTTAGACATTCTTCTCTTCCCTATTCTCTTTCCTCACCCTCACACTCCAGTTTCTGTTTAACAAGCATTTCTAAGCTTTGCTGCAGCTCAAACCCTTAAAAGAAGAGCACTGATTTATTTGTACTTGGAGTTGGTCATCCCAGTCCTGGCTCTGTTATTTCCTTTATGTCTTTACTTTGTACAGTTAAAAATGAAAAGAAGGAACCAAGTGGAGCTGTGCCCAGTTTGTGTTCCTTGTAGTAGGGATAGAACAGCCTTCTTCATCAGTTTCCTGGTTGAGTGCAGTTCAGCTTCTGAGATCTAAAGGCATCTGCACAGCTGCAGATACAACCTGGAAAACCTTTCTTTCAGCTCTTAGAAGGAGGCTGTTAATCCTGAGAACAAAGCATTTTAGAAAGGAGTGCAGGCATTTGATCACTTTGCCTATGGTGACAAAAATGTCCTACTCACAGCGTGCCAAGCTGGGGGCACCACCTATGGCACTTCTTAAAGTCAGTGGAACTGTTTATGCAAGGGCTGAAACACCAGAGCTTGAAAGCTCACTCTGGTTTTGAAAGCCACTGTCAGTGTTAACCAAAGCAGGTCCAACAGGATGGAGTAGAGAACTTGGCACTTGTTGTGTGGCAGAACTAAACTAAACACAGATTGACACAGGTTACTGCAAGACAGGACCTTCCACAGTTAAAAACATGCTTGTCTCTTGCACTTTGTATAAACTTAAAAGCAGAGTTGTTACTTCTGTGCATTTTGAAATTAGTTCAATAACAGTTTTCATTTTTCCTCCTCCTCCTCCAATTTATTTTCATCAGCTCTTCAGCACTGAACTCCTGGATACCTCCTTATGGCCATGGTTACATGTTCCTGTGGACAAAAAAACCCCAGATTTGATAGCATTCTTCCTCCAAAACATAATGAATTTCAGCTTTATTTTTATTCTGTTCAAATGTAAGGCCTTAGTTCTTGGTGACTACCTGGAAGAAATCATACAAAGAAGTGCTATATCTGTAGTATTTTATCTTGATAATATTAAAAGTGTTTTGTAATTCCCGTGAAATATTTTTTTTATAAAAATGATGTAATCCCATATTTTATATATTAATTTCTTGTTACAACATGCATCAAAGATAATGGATTTGGATAGTGGCTGAGTAAATGTGATAACTGATATATTATGGAACTAAAACAGTCTTTATAATACTCATCCTCATATTTGCTTGTAGTTAATGCACTTGAATAATATTGTAAGTGTTAAATAATTCCTCTTCTTTATTTAAAAGTACAGAGACAACTGAGAGTAAATATCACTATGTAAAACATGTAAATATTTTGTTTGGTATTTTATTCCTATTGTAAAAAGTCCATTACTAAAATATTTTTAAAATAAAGGATTGTAAAGTTTTTTAGTATTTAAATAATCTCTTGAAATAATAATCTGAGAATTTAAATCCCATTCTGAGAGAAAAGTCTAAGACTGTAATTACCCTGCAGTCATCAAAGCAATTATTCTGAAAACCAGAAGAGTTCACCATCAACTCATTAGTTCACTGTAAACTATCAAAGAAAAATCTGATTGAGATAGAAAAAAAAACCAACTTTACAATAAATTCCTATAATCTGTCTATTAATAAATACAAACTGTAAATTAGAATTGTTCTCATCTGGAATGAGAGAACTCCTGGGACAATTTCTCAATTGGAGTTGAAGGGCTAAAAATAAAATGCTCAGGATCTATTAAGATCTGCCTTCCCTGAAATTTGAATTGTGTGTGTTGAATTAACAACGTCCTAGTCAGTTACCAGACTGGTTGTCTTTGGGAGTTCCCTTCTGTATATTCCTATGGACACAAAAACATGCTTCATCTTTTTTCTCTGAAAAGAGGCACAATCATGTTTTTTCCTGTCAGATAAAAGATTGAAGCCAGGATTTTTCTGATGAAAAACTGAAAAAAAATTTCCAACCTAAGTATGTAAATCCAGAGTTTCAGAGGTAGTGAGTATCTGCAGCTTCTGGTAACTACAGTATCAAGCCTAGGATAACTGTGGAATATAATTCTCTCACAGTAAAACCACTTATTGATTAGTGATTAACTTACACATATACTAACAGAGAAAAAAAACCCTAGAATTTTTGGGATTTTTTTGTCCCCAGTGATTAAACATTTACTTCCCTTTAATATAGCACCTTATTTAGAGAAAAGAATCAAATAGAAGTGATGAGATGTAAATTTATACCCCCTATGCATTTTTTAATAAAATTTATTGCTTTTTAAATATATATGATATTTATCATTACACCTTGTCTTATTCTCTCTTACTTCAGCTGTGTTCAGCTGAGTTTCAGGGTAATTCCTGAGTATATATCAGGTACTGCTTTATAGGGGGAATGTTTATGTGGGAGATGATAATATTGATGCCATTCCCTAATTTTTAATGTTCCTGATCTGTGAGCAAGTCTGGTTTGTAATTATCCTGAAAACATTACTCACAGAAGCCAAACCATAAAAAAAATTAAAATCTTTTATTTAAGTTATGTGGAATAAACTACACGGTACAGAATACAGGTTATGACCACTTAGTCCAGGTCTGCAAAATCTGCTCTTTATGTACATTTTTATGAATTGGCTGCACTATTTTATAAACCTCTCTGCACGTTTCTATATACACCAAGCAAAACTGTTACTTCATTTATATTGTTTCTTTTTTTATGGTTTCTCACGCTGGTTTTTTTTCCCCTTTTCTCTGGCATTTCTATATCAGTAAAATTGTTCCTGTTCTCATTTCTGCTTGTGTTTGAGAGTGTTTTTCAGTAATGAAGATTGTTACTGTTAGAAACTGCATATATTTCAGTGAATTTCTTATTTGTCAGTACATGTCCTGCCCTGCAGATTGTGTGCTCTTTGCGGGAGGGTTTTTTGGTACTTTAGTGCAAACATAAAGCCTTGTTTTGTACTGGTGACTACATTACCTAGCACCATAGAAAAATAAAATAAAAAACAGTATTTGAAAAAAAACAGTAATTCAATATGAAATAAATAAAAATACATAGGTTTAAATTCTGAGTGGGTATCAATCAGCTGATTTACACCAGCTGAGACTCTGAGCTGCAGCATTTCAACAGCTTTGTTCATGGATATCAGTTTTCTGGGGTTGGAGCACCTTACATGATTGAATGTATGGACAAAGTCAAGCCATGTTCAAAATACTTCTGTATTAGTAATTGTAATAATAATGCTATAAAGCTTATTTTTGTCATTGCATAGAAAAACATATTGCATTGTTTTACACATGTAGCAAATAAAGTTGTAATGTATTAAACTAAATGGTAAACTGAGTTTCTTCAGGACAGGCATGCCAGAGGTGACTTGTTCTTCCTGCCAATGTCCAATGTCCTGTTTGTAATGTGCTTCCTTACATTGTCTCTGGCATGTACATTGCTTCATGATAGGATTTCAGGCTTGTGCTGCTGAAAACTCTTGGTACATATTTTAAAAAAGAAAAAAACCCAGAAACTGTGTGAAAATAAAGAACACAGCAAATAACATGCTTCAGCACCTAGCTTTGCCCTGTGTGTGCCAGACCACCAGGTGAGGACCAGTGTGTTGCAAACACATGCTCCAAAGTGCTGCTTACTCTCTTCCTGAATAATTTAGCCCTGAGTCACAAAATACCGTGTTCCTCACAAGAGAAAATCAAACACATTCTGAGAGCTTTTCAGTCACTGGTGTACAGAGAATTCTACTTTTGTGCTCATCACAAGTGAGAAGTTACCTGCTTGAAGAAGAAGTCCTGCAGCTGAACTAAATATGTCTAACAGGATCTATGTACATACAGATTAAAACAAACTGTGGCTTAACTCAGGACATAGAGCTACAAGGGTTTGGAGTGAAGTTGAGCTGGGAAGAATGGGGAAATAAAAGGAGAGTGGATTTAGATTTGTCATTATGTCTCTCTATCCTACTCTGTTTAATTGGCAAAAAGGTAAATTAGTTTCCCCAAAGTGAATCAGTTTTGCCCATGATGGTAGTTGTTGTTTGATGTCCCTGCCCTTATCTCAGTCCATGAGCTTCTTATCATATTTTCTCCCCATCTTCTGTTGAGGCTGGGAAGTGAGAAAAAAAAAAAAAAGACTGGTGGGCATCTGGCATCCTGCCAAGTCATCCCACTCATCAAGTCAACTAACTTATTTGGTAATTTAATTAATTGCAGATTTTACATTCCTTTCTTCAGAACCATCATCTAGGATACCTGAAAAAAAAGGATGAACACTTCCCCCCTTGATTTTAGCTTAACCAAATAACATAGGCATTTCAATGTAATACAATGTAAACACAAGGATTAAAATACTGTACACAGTGAAAACAAGATTTTTTTCCTTGTTTGAAATTAATACTTTGATTGTGAATTCTGCTCCCAAGCAAAAAAAAATATTACTAGCAAATAATTATTATTTGAGAGGCCTGCAATTTGATATGGATGCATAGGTAGGAGGATTGGTGGCCCTTCTTGGATGTCTGTGATTCTGTACTGGGTCACATCCAGCCATCTGTGTAAACCTCGCTGTCCTCTGAGTGGAGGTGTTGCTTATCCCATCAGATAGGTCAGGACAAATACTATGGAGTCAAAGTGCACAAACTACTCCTGCTCCTTTGTGTCTCATCATCTCCACAAATCTCAGGAGCTTTAACTCAATGGCACCTTCATATTCCTCTAATCTGCACTATAGGTAAAAAGCTGCAGAGTGGCTGTGCGGAGTTGCATTTACATCAGAGGTAAAGGGCTAAAGAAATGAATTTGACCACTGTAAAAATTCCTGCTGCCTTCTTTAAATTTATAGGTGACTTTCCCGTTAGTAGAAGATGACCTTTAGGTTTGATTAGGCCTTTAGGTTAATGAAGACAGGTAGGAAATACAGACTGACTTTCCTGATGTCACCACTTTGATCTGATGCCGGTTGTGATCCAGAATTGGAACAGGTGAAGTCACCATCCCTAGAAAAATTTGGAAGAGGTATAGACCTGGCACTGGGGGACATGTTTTAGTGGTGGCTTGGCTGTGTCAGATTAACAGGTGGACTTGGTGATCTTGCAGGTCTTTTCCAACCTAAACTGTTCTACGATGCTAAAATTGTACAAGACTGCAAATCACTGGAACAGGCTGCTTTCACAAACAACGCGCTTTCAGCCCAAAATGTGTGAGGCAAACTAGCTGACGGATAGGCAGGAGCAGGACAGCAGTGTCATGCAAAGGACGAGACGTGCGATTTATGCCTGAGGGGAAGACACTGATCTCCGCCTGCCGGGGGGCCGGGGGGCCGGGGGGCCTGTCGCGGTTCCGGCGCCGCCCTCAGCGCCGCCGCCCGGGGCCGTTGCTGTGGCAGCGCCGCGCGTCCGGCAATGGCGGCGGCGCCTGAGGGCGGCCATGGTGCGCAGTGAGTGTCGGAAAGCGCCGCTTCTTTCCCCTGCTCTCCCCGGGCCCTGCCCTCATATCCCCGGGCCCTGCCCTCATGTCCCCGCGCCCTGCGCGCCTCCTTCGTGTCCGCAGAAGGGCAACAAAGCTAGGGAAGGGGCTGGAGCTCAAGTCTGATGAGGAGCGGCTGAGGGAGATGGGGGTGCTCAGCCTGGGGGCTCAGGGGAGACCTTGTCGCTCCCTGCAGCTCCCTGAAAGGAGGCTGTAGCCGGGGGACGGTCGCCCTCTTCTCCCGTGTGACAGGGCAAGAGATGACCTCAAGTTGTGCCAGGGGAGGTTTAGCTTAAATGTTGGGAAAAATTTGTTCGTGGAAGTGGTTCTCAAGCGCTGGAACAGGCTGAGCAGGGAGTTGGTGGAGTCAGTACACCTGGAGTTGCTTAAAACTCATGTCGATGTGACATTTAGGGACATGGTGTCGTGGTGGATTTGGCAGTGCTAGGTTGTACTAGATGATCTTAAAGGTGTTTTCCAATCCGAACAATTCTCTGCTTCATGTTCCCTCTCGCCACAGTTGTCTCCCATCCCCACCATCCCCACACTCCCCTGGCAGCTCCCTTCCCTCCTTCCTCCCTTGGATAATTGTCAGATTTTCCTCCTCCCTGACAATAACTCCCATGTTATCTCACCTGTAAAGCACAGGGGTTCCTTGCCTCCCAAAGCAGCCCCGAGAGGGCCAGCAGTGGGGACTGGGGTGCCCAGCCCCTGCAAGGGGGGATGCTGGATAGGGCCCAGGTGGGGACCCCTCCTTGCGTGGGCAGCCCCTGCAAGGGGGGATGCTGGATAGGATGGATTGTGTCAGAGCCCAGGTCTGTCAGATGTGGAAAAACCCCAAAATGAGGTAAAACACTCCATACTGGTACTTATGAATTGATCGTCTTTTACAGGTACAGCAGTGTGACCCAAAAGACTGAGTGCTCACACCTTTTACTCATGAAAAAGGAGTTCCCTTCCTCGGTGATTTTTCTTGTAATCTCTTTTGGTTGTATACTGTCACTGGACTGCCAGTCCCATGCTGGGCTCAAGCAGTGCTTTGGACAGGAGCTCCTTCTCCCTGCAGGAAGCTGGCAGATGCCCTTCTGGAGCAGGCACTGCCTGAAGGAGAATGACTTTATCTCCAGCACGAATTTGAGTCTTAAACTAATGGTGGCATACTTCACTTTTCTGAAATGCAGCTTCCCCCACCATCTCCTGATACACCTGCAGCTGTCCGTTTGCTTATTCTTTCAATTTCTTTAATGTTATCCTTAATTTCTGCTTTCTTTTTGTAGTAAAACATGTAATTTTTGGAAGCCCAGGTGTTAGAACTTCAAGATCTGTTCTGTCCATTTGATTGATGCCATCCCTCATTTCCTCCTGTGTTCATGGGAACCTGGGAGTAGCTGTGATCTCTCAGGTTGCTGCTCCAGTCTCCTGTTACTGCACACAACACCAGAAAATCTGGTTAATGAACTTTTTAGTGAGTTCAGTGTGTTCGTCAGTGTCCTGGAGATGCTGTTATTTAAAATTTTATGTAATATTTGTTTTCTCTTGCAAGCTTGTTTCCCTCATTCCTCTTAAATGAACTAGTTCTTACGCAAAATGTCAAATATTCAGGCAGTTCCCTACAACAGGATGTCAAATTAGGTTTCTAAAGCTTCACTGTAGCTTCTGTTGTGAAAGACTGTCTCTGCTTTACAAATCATTTGTTAATGGAAGTGGACATTTTTGCAGAATTGCAAATGGAAATTGGGCTGTAGTTAAGCTTTCAGGAATAGTTTGTATGACTTCTTTTTGTATAAAGGGTGTAGAACATAATATTGCCCCCAGTGTGTATGTATGCAAATTGGGGAATATTGTTTTCCTGCTCAAAATTACCTGGTAATAGAGGCACTGAAAAATCTGCAGCCAAACACAGTAGTATCCAGACTTTCTTTTTTTCTTTCAATTTCCAGCAGATTTGCCAAGTAACTTAATAGAAATGTCAGTCTTTTTTCATATTTACTGTGAAGACTGAAGTATTTAGTCACGATTATTAAATTTTTTTTTTCTCTTTTCTCTGTTACTTCAATCAAGTGCAAGGGAAGATGATTGTTCAGATGCAATAAACCTGCTCAATGTGGTTAAAAGAGACAAAGACACCTTTCCCAACATGATTTAAGTGCGGATGGGTTCCCCCCTTCAACCAATATCTGTATCTCCACATTTAATTCTGTAAATTAATTCTGTCAGGTGAAAGTCTTTCGAGAAGGGAGATTTAAGTCTGGCTATATTATATATTTATGTTATATTGTATAATAATACAATACAATATAATATAATATAAATACAGCCAGTTTCACCCTTTCATGAAGACTGCAGATAGAGGAGTTGTACAGACACATGAGAGTTTGGGCTGTATTGGTACACAGTTTGCTGGTCCATGTGAGTGTGTGCAGCCATCCCAGGACCACTAAGAAAACTGGATGATCTCACAAAACCTCCCTGGGACAAAGAAGTAAATAGTACTTTTAATTAATGCATGGTAGGAAGTTTGTTTTCACAGACCTTTATATATTTTTTCTTTTTATTTACTGTTCTTCAGATACTTTGTATAAGGTTTGTCTTTTTTTCAGCATTAAAAATCATGAAAATACCAATGCTAACTTGATTAAACCCTGTGTTTTTCTTCAGTACTTCACTATAGTCCAGTGCTTGTCAAGGAGAGGAAAATGCTGGCACTTTTTGGTGCAGTGTGCTGGTAACAAAGTTCTAGCATCTAGCTCAGAAGTGATCACTGGTTCTTGTAGAATTTTCTTACCTTCATTATACAGAGCCTTTTCACTGTTTGAAAGACTGCCCGGCATTAAATATTACAACAAGATAACTGAACCCAGGT